AGCAGTGGACTTGTGAAGGGCTGTAATGATGATGATGATGATGATGATCCTTTTTTTAATAAGAAGAGGGTACTACACGGTGTGTTTTTACCTTTTTATTGTTATTACAAGCTTTTACCAAACATTTTTAGGTGTGTGTGGGTTGGTATACAGTAGGTATGTGTATTAATTTTGTTTAGTTTAATTTGTCTTCACCTGTTGTGACAACCCTACCAAAATAGGTAACAATTTTGCACGTTCTTAAGAAGCTGTGTCTGTGTTCTGTTTATTTACTTACTCACACCGTGCTAAGTTAACTAACACTACGTAGTTTTAATTTTTTGTAAACCTGTTTGGATGATTACTCTAACCTTGTTTAAATACGAGTACCTAACAATATTTTAATAAATTAGCAGCCTATATAATTTCCGATAGAGGCTGAGGCCTTTTCTAATTTTTAAGTGTTTATAGAACAGGGGAGACATTTTTATTTAGACGTGACAGTTTCCAGACGATGTTTCCTTTCATTTTGTTTTTGAAAAAACGTTACCCCCAAACTAGGATTTTCTCCTATGGACAAATATCCAGACTCGGAACAATTATTTGTACTATATACGGATTATCCCGGGACCCCGGGATTTTGCACTGCTAATAAAAAAAATTATCATCAAAGTTTTTAATTGCAAAGCATGCAACTATTATTATTAAAATATTTTAAATCTATGTGTAGAACTACATGATATAAATGTGTATAGATTACATCGCCGAGTAATGGCGGCGTAAGACAATCCACCAGCGAACGAGGGAATTTAAAAATGATAAGGGCAGCAGCGTCTTCCCGATAACAACCCAAAATAATAACCGCAGTTATTATACCCCCTGCCTAACATGGTAGCTATGCCAAATATCTGGTGTCCAAACGAATGTCGCTTTGTAGCCAAAGACAAAGCCGAACCTGAAGACTCAAGAACCCAAGAAATTCTGTTCACGAATGGTTGAAATTATCAATATAAATGATTTCAAAACTTTTAAATTCTAGGTATATATTAACTGTATAGTTAATAAAAACTTATTTTTAATAATCTTCAGATGTCCATTGAGCTCTCGCTCATTCGTAACAGTTCGATCAATTTCAGCGCTTGCTAAAAACCTTCAGCTTCGGCCAAAACTTTGGCCTATGTTGGCCGACATCGAAGGTTTTACGGAAGGTGGCCGAAGCCGAGGCCAAAATCGAAGCTTCGGCCGGACACTACAAATACCCCTCCTATGAAGCAACTTATGAAGAAGATCTATGTTCAGCAGTTGCAGTTTGATAGGCTGTAATAATGACGATGATAATGATTGAATTAAAAAAAACTTTTGTTCTAAGTTTTATTAATATCAGAATATAATGGTAACACTGAATGTTTTCTAAAGTTTCTGTCGTAGTGACCTTATTATATAGCACAGGAGAAAAAGGCGTTATTATACGAGTTTATATTTTTCGATATCATGGCGACGGACGAACTTCAAGTTGATTTCGGTACGAGGTTGTAAGACAATGGCAATAGGATCAAACTTGACCTCATCCGGGGTGTTACTTGCTGTCTCCACTCCGTAATTCCTGAACAGGCTACCAATCCTGCCAACATCTGCATCTTCGCGAAACGCATACCTAAAACAAAATAATTTTTAAAATTTATACATGATTGAATTTGATGCTATATTCGAAGACGTAAAAGTCAGCCTCTCGGAGTTCTATAGGAGAGTTTGCAGAGGAATCGCATAGCTCATCGACTATCCCTTCAACCATAGGACAACCAGACGCTCGACCAGTGCTTCGCTGCTGTGTTTGTGTGCTGTGAAGAGTATAGATATGGGCAAAGTACGGCTCGCGGGCCAACTCCGACCCGCAAAATTATTTAATTTGGCCCGCCGAGGATCCATCGACATGGATAATATATGGCCCGTTATAATTACGTTTTGACGGACGAGAAGAAAAAGTAGATTCTACTTAGTAGAATAATCTAAGAAGCTAAACTATCTGCGTAGTTCACGTGTTGAGTATTAGGGGCGCAAAACGTGGTGAAATGGGAGGCATGGACGGCGGGGCTAGTGAACTCAGTCGCCACACGCCAGCTGTCACTGACCGAACCCCATGTTTTAGTTTTTTTTAATATGGAGTATAAAAAACGTAAAGTCGATTCCGACTGTCGTCTGTTTAAGGAAGAGTGGGTTTGGAAATAATTTTTTACGGAATACAACGGTTAGCTAGTATGTTATATTTGTTATGAAGCAGTGGCGGTATTTAAAGATTTGAACCTTGCTCGTTGTTTTAACAAAAAACATTCAAATGTCAAACATGTTTCGATGAATGAAGCAGAAAAAAAGGTAAACGCGGAAAACTTAAAAAAAATAATATCTGTTCAACGGAATATGTTAATAAAGCAAAACAATGCTCAAAAAGCTTCTAATAAACCATACTTGAAAGGAGAATTTGTGAAATAATGATTGGTATGGTGAGTATGAGTAAAATTTTATGTCCAGAAAAAAATTAAAGAGTTTGAATCGGTCAGCTTATCGCGAAAAACAGTAACAACGCGAATTTATGCTATTGCAACGAACTTGACTCAAGTTAGGCAGCGTATGGAGGTAGAAGTTACAGCCTATATACGCCCCACTGCTAGGCACAGGCCTCCCCTCATTCCTGAGATGGTTTTAGGGCAAGAAAGTATCCGCCGCGCTGCCCCAATGCGTGTGGCGAACTTCACATGCCTTCGAAATATATTTTTCCTTATTCCTCAGACATGCAGGTTTCCTCATGATGTTTTCCTTCACCGGGCGAGCACGTGGTAAATCAGCACTTAAAATTGCAATTAACAATTTCACTGGTGCCGGTGGGAATCGCACCCGGGTTACTCTCACGTTCTGTTATATTTACAGCGAGCGAGGCAATGTATAGAAAACTTCAAATATTTTTCCGTGATGATGGATGAAAGTACGGATAGAAGTGACACTGCTCAATTATTAATCTTCATCAGAGGCGTTGACGACAAATTTAAATAAATGCTTATCAGTGTTCGTGGACCTCAAAAAAGCCTTCGACATAGTTTCTATCCTATAATTGTACATAAACTGGAAAGACTTGGTATAAGAGCCAATGCACTGTCTCTTTTTAAGAATTATCTCTCGGATCGAACTCAAAAAGTGAAAGCTCAATACATTCATGAGTGACGACGTCACGGTATCGTACGGCGTGCCGCTGGGTAGTGTTTTGGGACCCACACTTTTTATAATCTATATAAACGATCTTTGTTGTCTGCAAATCGGTAAAGCCCATATTCTCTCTGCGTAAGCGCTGACGATTCTGCTTTTATTTTTTTTGGAAGATTAGAGTGATGTCGAGGAAAAAGCGGAGTCAGGTATGAGCTTAGTTGCTAGTTGGTTAAAGTGTAATCTTCTTACTTTAAGCACAGATAAGACGAACTTTATTTGTTACAGTATCCTTGACCAATCACAACCTAATCTTGATTTTGAAATCGAAATATACTCCTGCAATTTCTATCCCGGATTGGCTAACTGTTTGTCCTGCTATTAAAAGAACTGACAAAACTAAGTATCTGGGGGTGATAGTTGACCAACGGTTATCCTGACATCCACATCTTGAACAGGTAACAGACAAGGTTAGGAAACTGATACGGATATTTAAGACCCTAAGATATGTGGTGTCGGGTGAGAAATTGGGTAGCCAGTACTCTCATAAAAATATACTTAAGGAAATCTATATGGCGTTAACACAGTCCTTACTAAAATACTGCATCCCAATCTGGGGAGGGAAAAGTAAAACCAAAATGTTAGAAGTGGAACGTATACAACGTGCGCTTTTGAAAGTAAAGTTAAAGTAAAGTTACAGCCTATATACGTCCCACTGCTGGGCATAGGCCTCCCCTCGTTTCTGAGAGGGTTTTAGGGCAAGGAAGTGTCCGCCGCGCTGCCCCAATGCGTGTTGGCGAACTTCACATGTCTTCGAAATATTTTTTTCTTATTCCTCAGACATGCAGGTTTCCTCACTATGTTTTCCTTTACCGCCGAGCACGTGACAAATCAGAAATTAAAATTGCAATTAACAATTTCATTGGTGCAAGATATTAATGTTTGACGAAATAAATAGTTTATTATTATTATAACTATAGGGATGCCGGACGAGCCGCGGTCTTCATCACTGCTTTACGTTGCTGGTTTGGTATCGTTTAAAACTAGCATATACGAGATGCTTCATCACCCCTCATTGGTGACCATAGGATGTTTTTAGTTTTCACACAATCGACTTTACGACATCCACGGGACGATGGTTTCTATTGCTGATTTAATATTTTTAAAATAATCGACTTATAAAAAATAACAAAAACAGGTTCATTTTATTTCATTTTTGATTTGAATAAAATTATTATTTAAATTAAAAATGTAATCATTGTTTTAAATAACGAGAACATGCTTGATAAAAATCTATCCAATACGATTTGCACAGGATTCTTTTTTAAAACGGATTTGAGACTTTGTAGAGAAAAATAGAGGTATTTTACAACAAGGTAATTAACATTTAAAAGCTACAATAGAAAGTATTACAGTTCTACTGGAGATTTACTTTTAAAAAAATGTTAAATATTTACATTGTTATCAGTAATGCAGAAACTAAGCATGGAGCATTTGTCTCTTCCTCGACTGAACACATTACCCAACGAGTGATCATAATTTTTTTTATTTACGACCTTTCCTTAAATATGCCAGTTTCTTTTACATGCATTAAAATTCACTTATGTGAAAAATTATAATTTGTATTTTAAAACTGAAGGTAAAAATTTTACCTATATAATTTCTTTGACCAATACCGAAAGGTATATATGTGAAAGGTTTGATTTTTTGGTTGGTTTTCTCTCGCTCGTTTGCAAGAAACCGTTCTGGTAGGAAATTTTCAGGGTTCGGAAAGTGTTCAGGGTTGTGATGTAGACTATAGACTGGAATGTGTATGCGCATCCCTTTGTCTAGATGCAAGCCTGTCGGTAGTGTGTAATCTTCAACCAACTCCCTGGTGATGGTGCTGAAGACTGGATATAAACGAACTCAATTTTACCTTCATGGCGATGAAGATACTCGTCTACTACCGCTATGGTTTTCAACTGTGTCTTCTCGTTCTTTGCCAGTTCATAGAGAGTAAAGCTAAGTTTTGTAGCTGCTGTCTCATAACCAGCTACAAAGAACATAACACACTGCGAGATTAACATATCGTCGTTTAATTCTAGATGTACTTTCTTTCCTTCTCCAGTTTTAAGATTAGTAATGCTATCGCCGGTCACAAACTGATTTTCTTTCAAATTTAACACAAGATCTACAAAGTCGTTTCTTTTTGACGGCTTGTATTGCCTGTTCTCGTATACACCGATGAGTAACTTTTTAAAGAACGATATTATTTCATTTGTACGGGCGCATTTCTTAATCAAATAGTACATGTTCTTCATTTTCGCTGAAGTAAACAATGGGGTCAGATTTTGGCGTATCACCTTCCATTTGTCTCCGTGAGTGAAGAAAAGGTTTTGAGTAAATATTTCCTTCTCAGTATAGTTAGCTACCTCTCTACTGTTAAAGAAATAGAAGTCTTTTGTAGTCATAAGTTTTATTATCTCCTGATCTTGAACTATGAGTGAGGGTTCTGTACCATAGAAAGCACCGATCAACGGCTCTTTAGGGAACTCTTTACATATACGGTGTGTGATCATTGGGCCCCATTCTTTCAGTAAAATAAGATCACAATAATTACCAAAAAATGGCAAAGATTTCAAATACGGCACATTCTTTACTTTCCAATAATTAAACTTCTTGGTAGATGAATAATACAACAAGAATAAAGTAATCGATAAACAAAGGAGAAATAACTGTAACACCATTTTAATTTACAGTTCACCTACCACTAATAAAATAGTCTTAAATCGACGTTACCTTTGTTTTTATACACAAATGATTGACGCCATCGGTTAATTGGCGCTTAAAATACCACATATTAAGGACTTTTACGGATATTCCTAGAAATTTTGCAAATGTATTACATATTAAATTTTAAATATATTCCACATGAAATGTTAGAATAAAATGATTAAAAGTTGAGAATTATGAAGATGCCTTAATATTTTAATAAGTTTTTTAGCTTCTAAACGAAAACGGCTACTAGAGAGAGGGAGAGAGGGATGAAAACCACGCTATCTGTTGCGAGCAAACAATATCAGGAATCAAGTGTTAAACTAAAAATAATGCTTTGCTTTAAGTAGCTTATTTTGTAATTGTTGAAGAACTTTATTGGTACAGTAATTGTTTTGTGATTATCAGCTGGTCTTTGGCAGCGGAAGGAGTTGTGATAATCACATTTACTTGTCTGTTGGTAACCCATTACTAAAGTTTATTACAATTCAGCTTTTTAGTGAAGGCGAATTCAGTACAGAGTATCTTGGAAATTATGAATTTTATCTGCACATGCTCGCTGATTGTATGTTTGGCTACAGAATAAATAATAGTACTAGTTTGACTGTAAAAAGAGAATACCACCGGCCAAGGAGGGAGCATTTTTTTACAGAGTAGTTTTTGTGTTCTTAGATATGCAAAATTGTTTGGATTTTTCGATTGAGTGATCTAGGCTGTGGTTATTTATTGTATATTTTATTGAAGAAAATGACTGTAGTGATGTAAGAAGGGTACTTATTTAGAATGATTCGAAGTAAAGAGAAAAATAATTAAGTCATATCGTCAAGTCGTTCTCGAGATATTTCGGAAACTTACAAACATACTATTCTTGCTTATGTCATTAAAATCCCTAATTTGTGGTTATAACGCATTGATCATTATTCAAAGTGATACTATAATGTTCTTAAGTACTTGTAATCATCTTATGCTTATATCTAAATCGTGGTATTTTTTTCTGTCACACGTTTTCTGCGAATACCTTTTTAACCAAATACCTTCTATTTCGAATATATTTTTAAGATTGCCTCAGTGTCTTTTGCGTATATATTGTTATTATAATATGTGCCTAATTTATACGTATTATAAATATTCTCAAATTATATGCGTAATTGTCATTGTAATATAGATGTATATGAGATATTAATTTTTATCGTTATTTGCATCTTATCAACTTCACTGCTGAATGGACCTCACTTTAGATGGCCTTCTAAGGGAGGTGTTTGCTATAGTTACTATGCTTGGCAAGCAGGTTGGTAACCGCAGGGTTTTATTTTATAGTGGTGTTAAGGAAAACCCTTTTTATAGGAGAGGGGGTGTTGACGACGCGTGATAAACATCTCGTTAAATCTTTCACTGTTTTATAGAGAAAACGTTAAAATTGTGTTAATTTTTATTAATGCTAATTTCTGAGTAAGGAAAAGGTTATTTGTTTTAGCTTACATTTGTGCGTTATGTAGTAATCGGCTATGTAATACGATTTAAATAAATAATAAAGAATGTTATATTCGCTTTAAACATTTTTGATTGTTAACATAATATTTTAATAACTGATAAGTCATACAACCTAAGGTTATTAGTTTTAAGTACTTATTATTACTTAAAAATAATAACCTGAATGTCGATTTTCAACCTTCAAAAACATAGGACTTTCATACAAATTTTCATCCCATATGGCACCCCCTTTTGGGTGATTTTTTGGAAAATTATTTATACAGGTTATTATTATTTAGAATTTATAATTAAAGTGCCGATTTTCAAGACTCTTACTTCACAAACGTAGGACTTTCATACAAACTTCCAACTCCCATTTCACTCCTTTAGGGGTAGATTTTCGTAACATTGCTTTATTATTTATAAGTAACAATTTAGCTGCCGCTGTTCTAAATTCAAAAACATAGGACTTTCATATAAACTTCTGACCCCCATTCCAACCTCTTAAGGGTGGAATTTATATTATATAAAAGAATTAGAAGAGAAACCTAATCTATCGGAAGTGGATGAAAGGCTCATTCTGGGTTACTAAGCAGCTCAAGACAAAATGCTTAAACATTATAAGAAGAGCAACTGGATTTATTTATTCCTTTCGAAGATGGCCCGTGATTTTCTTTCAATGCCTGCAGCTTCAGTACCTGCTGAGACATTATTTTCTAAAGCATCATAAGTAATTCGAAAACATAGAAATAGGTTAAGTGATGAGTCAGCCAGATAGTTACTTTGTATTAATTCTTGGTCAAAAGAATTAATATAAAGTAACAGTACTCGTATTGTCAAAACTATTGTGTACTGCTATGTAATTTAATTTGTATTGTATTTTATTTTTTATTTAAATAAATGCTAAATTGTATACCTAATAAAACTTTTATTCCATTTAATATAAGGTGAGGGTCTATTAATCTCTTTCGTTTTTTATATGTTTTAATAATGTTTTGGCACATGTAAGCTAATTAAGTGTAAACGTTTAAGAAACAGACTGCTCTCGTGGCCGTGGGACACGGTGATAGCTCAGTTGGTTGGAGCATCGGCACGGATCATTTAGGCCGTGGGTTCAAACCCCACCCGGTGTCAGTTAATTTTTCGAATTTCTCATTAAATTTATAGACATTCATTAATTTGGTTGGTCTTTACTATGGCTATGTTAATTCAATCTCAAAATGTACATACTCTGTTAAGTTGCAATAGGCTAATAAGATATTATTTAAGTTTATTTATTAATTATGTTGCAATAGTGTATTGGCGCAAGACCAAGTCTCGTCTTGTTTTTGCATTTAGGCAACACTGTAGTGTATATTCTGACATCGCTACTATACCACATTATAATATATATATATATATGTAGTAAACAAACCGATCAGGGGGGAAGCTACATACAAACGGCTCGCTGCGACTATATCAACACACAAAGTGCAGCGGTGTGTGGGTGTGCTCTCACCGACGCTCCGTCGGGGTACAAACCGGTTTACGCAGGCTCAGTCAGAGTATCCATGAAAGGGCTGTGTTAGTCGTGCGCATTTAAATATATGGAAGAACAATATTCATGATTTAATAAATAATTTTATTAAATTTTTTTAAACTATTAAAGTAATGTTTATAAAATAAGACATTATAAATTTATATAAGTAATTAATTAGTGTTCTGTTAATGCTTAACAGTTGTACAGTATGTATAAAAATCCGAGAAAAAATAAAACAATTACCAGACAGTGTTGGAGGTTGTGTTAATGATAGTGGTGCTGATGTTGGTGGTAGTGGTGCTGGTGTTGATGGTGGTGCCTGTATTATCGTTGGTGGTGGTGGGTAGTGGATCACCACAAACGCCGCCGCCACCAATACCACCACAACAACTAGCATCATCTACACAGTCATTACCACCACCACTACTACCATCAACATCACAACCACCACCACTGCCCACTACCACTATCACAGCCATTAGCCATTACAAAAAAAAATCATGTGGTGGTACCACGTGATTTTTTGTACTCATGAATACGTTGTCTTACGAAAATGATATTGATAGAAATATAATATAATATGAATATGCTTTTTGTGGAAATACCTATTTTCTTAAAATTTTCTCGAAGGGATTCGCGCGGTTTTTAAATATAAATTTCATGTATTTTCTCAATATTCGCCGCTTTACCCTACACCAAGATTACATAAGCCATAATGCTACGAAAATTAACAAAATATGTAATATTTGCAGTTTCAATTTAAGTTACAATAAATGGACATGATATTATATTAATTTCAGTTACAATCTAATCACATGTTGTTTTATACTATACACATAATATTGTTACGTTTTCCTTACATTTTTCACATTCATCAGGTGACAACCCTATCAAAATAGGTAAGCATTGTCGACGTTGTTAGGAAGCTTCCCCTCTGGTCCTTACTCTGTGACTAGGTATACGGTTAATGTTATGTATTTCCATAGATAAAATTAAACAGTGGTGCTATATTCTGTTCACTACCCGCGCGTTGTACGATAACAGTGTCTATCAGCTGATCCGTGTCATTTTAATCTAAATTTAATAGTTAAACTTTACGTAATTTGTCAATTTTGGTACATAATATAGTCCGCATTATAAAGAAGTGATAAGTGTTTGGATCGTCGAAATCAGTGTAGGAGTTCGTGAGTAATCGCATTTTGTATTTACAAAACATCGATAAATCAAAAACTCCCCGACCTAGGGCAACCCGCGATCGCCCCGCATCTACGTCACACCACATTCAATTGCATGTAAGCGCCTGTTAAATAAGCTATAGCAAGTCACCTATTAACTTTTTGCTAACTTTACCAAACCTGTTCCGCAAATATGAGTACAAAAACCTTGAGAAACAAAAAATGTGGCGCGTGCTCTGAAGAACTTATCACGCAAGAGCAGCTTAAATGTATTATATGCAGTCTTAAATACCATTACGATTGTATAAACACCAGCAGCAAAAAATATAAAGAAATTTCTACTGATTTTAAAAACAATTGGGTTTGCCCGACTTGCCGAGCAAAGCAACCAAAATGTGATAGTTTTGACACGCCTGTTCGCAGCTCTGGAATCTCATCTCGAGACACGAGCAGTAACATCACATTAAGACGCACACAACCTACGCACTTAACTCAAAGTCAGGAATCTCTCACTCTTGAGAGTATAAAGCACATAATTTATGATGAGATGAATGCATTTATAAACAAAATTGAAAGCAATATCAGCAAAATTATAGAAAATAAAATAAAGGGACTAACCGTGGAAATCACTGATCTAAAG